CCCTCGCTACAGGGCACAAGTTACAGGAACCGTCACTCTCAGGAGAGTCCGCGTACTAGTGAATCATCCCGAGGCTGGTCCTACGGAGACACCGAGCCCACAGAGCAGGACGCCTGGCTCGGGTGAGCACCCTGTGAAGCGCAGTAACCCAGCGTGCGGAGACATCTCCAGCGTGCCTGGCTGAGCAGCCTGCAGAGAGCTCTGCCAAGCAGAACCCAGGGGCTCCCCAGGATGCCCCCCGTGGCCGATGCAAAGCAAGTATTGCCCACTGGTACCTGCAGCGCTGCTTGCACGGGGAAGCGCGTAAGTCTGCTGCCTGTCCCTTCACACAGCAGCATGCCCTGGGGGGCAGAGCTGCAACCCCCCTGCCCTACCTGTTCCCCGCGCGTTCCACTGGGACGCTGTCCAGTGGATCTGAAAGAGAAACTGCCCCTTCCCCCAATAGCCCGGCGTGAGGAGAACACGCAGCAGCAAGTCCAGAGGGAGGGGCCCCGGGAGAACGGGCTCTGGCAGGCGTCCCACGAGACGCGTCTGCGATACGGAGGTAAGGGTGGGCTGGGCTGCGAGGGAGGCTCCCCGCTCGGTCATCGCGCAGAGCGGAGAGCAGGGCTTCCTCCCTCCTCCGGCCGCTCGCCCTCCGCACGGCTGGCCGAGGCTCCACTGACACAAACAGGCTGGGGATGCGGCCCACGGGCAACCTCCCCTTCCCCCCTCCTGGCTGCCTCGGAACAGACAAGGGGCAACAGGCGGAGCTCCTGGGAATGCTGCCTGCCTGCAGCCCGAGCTCACTGCACCAGCGGAAGGCTCCAGGCAGGCTCAGATTCCAAAGCCAGAAGGGTCCGTCTGCCCGTCCGACCTGGACAGCACAGAGCCCTGCCCCACGGCCATTCCTAGAGTAGAGCTTTTAAATAACTTCCCATCCTGATTCCAAAATCGCCAGGGATGGAGAATCCTCCACGAGCCTTGGTCAGCTGCTCCAGTCGCTAAACACTGACAGAACACACAGCTCATTTCCTATCTCAATCGGTCCAGCTGGGGGGAGGGTAGATACGCTGGAGGGCAGGGAGAGAGTCCAGAGTGACCTGGACAGATTCGAGGATTGAGCCACAGGAAATCTGATGAGGTTCAGCAAGGACAAGTGGAGAGTCCTGCACTTGGGAGGGAAGAATCCCAAGAATTGTTACAGGCTGGGGCTCAACTGGCTAAGTAGCAGTTCTGCAGAAAAGGACCTGGGGATTACAGTGGATGAGAAGCTGGATATGAGTCAACAGGGGCCCTTGTAGCCAAGAAGGCTAATGGCATATTAGGATGCATTAGAAGGAGCATTGCCAGCAGATCCAGAGATGTCATTATTCCCCTTTATTTGGCTCTGGTGAGGCCACATCTGGAGTACTGTGTCCAGTTCTGGGCCCCCCACTACAAAAAGGATGCGGACGCATTGGAGAGGATCCAGCGAGGGCAACCAAAATGATTAGGGGGCTGGAGCACATGACCTATGAGGAGAGGCTGAGGGATTTGGGTCTGTTTAGTCTGCAGAGAGTGAGGGGGGATTTGATAGCAGCCTTCAACTTCCTGAAGGGAGGTTCCAAACAGGCTGGAGAGAGGCTGTTCTCAGTAGTGATGGATGGCAGAACAAGCAACAATGGTCTCAAGTTGTGGTGGGAGAGGTCCAGATTGGATATTAGGAAAAAGTATTTCACTAGGAGGGTGGTGAAGCACTGGAATGGGTTACCTAGGGAAGTAGTGGAGTCTCCATCCCTAGAGGTGTTTAAATCTTGGTTTGACAAAGCCCTGGCCGGGTCGATTTAGTTGGGATTGGTCCTGCCTTGGGCAGGGGGCTGGACTTGATGACTCCTGAGGTCTCTTCCAGCTCTATGGTTCTATGATTCTAATTTCTAACCCCTGGATAACATTACCACTTTCTATGCTACAGCGGAGAGCAGGGCTCATGGTGGGTCCCATGGGGCTGTGTCCTGGATCTCGTGTCATGCACAGATAGAGCACACAGATCAAATCTGCACTGGCTAAAGCTGCACAAAACCAAGGGGTTTCACGCAGCAGGATGCAGCTAAGACTCAGAGGCATCCTGACCAAGAGGAGAACGGGGCAATCGCCAATACAATGGAATTTAACAGACAAACGCCAGGGGCGACAGGGAGGAATTACCACGTGCCCAAGTACAGCCCGGGGGGCAGGGAGCATGGCAGCAGCTCTGCTCCGAAGACTCTGGGAGACTCACCTCGAGCAAATGCATTAGCAGAGGCTCCAGCGCTAGTTAGGCCTCCGCGGGAGGAAGGTGCCCAGGCCTGGTCACTGGCGCAGGGACACTGGAAAGGAGCCGGAGGCGAGTGGCAAAGGTGCTCAGAGGGGAGGGCTGCAGCCACGGGCGCAGGGGCTCAAGGAGTGGGGGGGGGCTGGGGGGGGCAAGGGTGACCGGGGGGCCAGCCTTCAAGGACTGGACTGGCTGCCTGCGGGCGGGAGAACAGTTCTCTCCGGCGCAGCGGGCAGGACGCGAGCCGGCAGCTTCACACTGCCGCACAGCAGATTTCAATGGACTCGCCTGTCAGAGCCGTGGGACCCTGGCATGATGCCGGGAGAGCTGGGGAGGCTGGAGCTGCCTGGCGCGGCTGGCTCGGGCCTGGCAAACCCTGCGTCTCGGCAGGTTAGACTGGACGGCCCTGGTGGGCCCCGCTAAGCCCCGTGGTTCTGTGACACTCGGAGACTGATCAAGTTGCTCCTTAATCTTCTCTTTGTCGAGCTAAACAGAAAGGGCTTCGGTCTATGGCTACAAGCAGGTTTTCGAATCTTTAATCCTTCTTGGAACCTCCGCAAAACACCCTCTGGGACCGGGGAGGCCAGAACTGGGCCCAGGGGTCCCGCCCCACCCCGAGAGGAGAGAAAAGAACCGCTGCACTCCTGCCTCCCCGCAGCGCATTAGCTCTCTGGCTGGGAGCTCAGTGCGGCCGATCGTTCACCGCAAGCCCAGATGGTTTTCCGGGACAGCGCTGACCCTCCCGTTGGCTGGGCCTGCTGAAACACTCACTGTCTGCCTGGAGTCTCTCCCGCAGCTCCCCTCGGCTGGGAGGGAGCCCCCTGCGG